TCATGGATAGGCAAAGGCTGCCTTTGGCAACATTTTCTCCTCTTCATAACCAGCGGAATAACTTACTTTTGGGCCCTTAATAGTATCCCTTTGAAAAACTGCCAACTATCCTCAGTTGTTTTTCCCCTCAGTCTTGATTCCCATGGGACCTTACCTATCAGCTCTCTGAGCTTACCAAAATCTGCCTTCCTGAAATCCATTGTCTCTATTTTTGCTGTTCTCCCTTCTACTCTTCCTTAGAATTGCAAACTCTATGATTTCATGATCACTTTCACCCAAGCTGCCTTCTACTTTCAAATTCTCAACGAGTTCCTCCCTATTTGTTAAAATCAAGTCTAGAGTACTCACTCTTTCACTACAGGTATGCTATTATGTAAGTATTTCAAACATGACCAAAGGACCGTATTGCAAAGATAATACGTTTTGGCTCACAAAAACTAAGGAGAAAATATTCTAATAGGTAAATGAACTCTATTGAGGTCTCCTCATATTTCAAGCTACTTCAGAAGTTTAAATTTTTATTTTTTTTAAATAAGATTATGTTTAAAAACAAACATCTTTATATATAGATATAAAAAATGATTTTTCAGAAAATGACAATGCCCACTACAGTACTTTAGAACAGTAGTTTTCTAACAGGCACTTTATAAGTTCCTCATTTTAAGATGAGCACATATAAAACTTATTTCTGAGCAGGATAATCTTGCTACAGATTATTTTGTTAATATATTTATTGATAGAACTATGTGGAAAACTTCATCACCATGCATTTATCTGATACATCAGATGGCCTGTCAGTCAAATAAGCAGCCTATAGATACCACAAGACTGATACATTTGAACTTGCCAACCCCTCCACGCTTTAATTTTTTAAAATCAAATACGAAAAACTGCACAACTTTTAAAGTAGAACACAATGAAACTCACGTCAACCACACTATTATGTCATTTTAATAACTAAATTATAGCGGTGGAATGACAAGACAGCAGTATATTGCACACTGCACAACTGTGACCAATACACACATTTAAGGTTCAAGATACAGCAGTAAAAACATAGGCTTTCCTTGCAAGGACAGCATATGTTTACATTAGATGGCCTTCAAAATAAATGTACTGTAGTGTTAATTCTTTAAGTAACCAGAAAGAATGCTGGAACAAATTTCCAATTACTACTTCAGATCCAAAGTTCTGTTAATAAATGTGGTTAAAAAGCTCTTTTAAAAAAATTGATCCAGGATCTTCGCACACAGTATCTTATTCTTAAGTACATATTCCGATTCACATCTGCTTGTTGAGTAGGAATTTGTGTGTGCACTAATGCCAATATTCAACATTGCAAAACAAACCAACTACTAAAGAGCAAATTATGTTGCAAATTTTGTGAACTACAAAATATATTACTAGTTTGCAATGATTATGAAAGTATACCATCAGGAAGAACTCAGTTTGATTTTTGAACAAGCTGTGCTTTAAGAAAAGCTTTAAGATTTGTTAACTAGTAAAATTTGATATGGAAGTCATTGAGAATATGAAAGACTAAAATGCCATTTTTACATTTTTTTTCTGAGTGCTACTGAATTTAATAGATTTTCTTTTTACAATGGATAATATGAACACCTCAACACTGTTAGTAATTTCATAGCTAGTAAAGAAACCAGTTAACTATGTGGGTTTAATAGAAAAATCTGTAACCTAGTTTTAGACAGTTTCTACTAATTACTGTCATTTGAACTAGCACTTCAATCC